AAAACTTAAAAAAAAAAAAAAGAATGTTATAGTGTGAATGTTTTATACCAAGTTACACATCAAAATATGATATAGTATTTTTGTTCTAACAACAATAAAGATTTCTTTATTTACTAGTGAATACTCATGAAAGGAAAATATGACTTAAGGAAGCGAATTACTCTGAATTATTATGTATATCTTGTCACAACTTGTTCTGAGTTCTGTGCTCTCAGTGTGATTTTTATCCTTTTGCTAATTTCAGTGGAGCAAGAAGTTCCCATAGACCCTCCTAGTGCAACCACCACCACCACCATTGGAATCTCTGCAACATCTGCAACATTTACAAACGTGTTTGGGAAAAAAAGGGCCAATGTGGTGACGACCCCCAGCACCAATCGGAAAAATAAGAAGAACAAAACGAAGGAGACCCCTCCCACTGCACATTTAATATTACCAGAACAACACATACCCTTGGCACAGCAGAAAGCTGATAAAAATAAAATAAACGGAGAACCCAGAGGTGGTGGTACAGGTGGGAATAGTGACTCCGACAACTTGGACAGCACAGACTGCAACAGTGAGAGTAGCAGCGGCGGTAAAAGCCAAGAGTTCAATTTCACCATGGATGTGAATTCCTCCAGTGATAGGAGATACCCATCACTTCTTCTCCATTCCCAAGAAGAAAAGACAAGTAATGCCACTTCCAAAACTCAAACACGGTAAATTTTTCTGATTTGTTCACTCTCCATCCACCTTTCCTTTCTCGTGCCTGGCGCAAGAATTTAAAGTACATTTTTTAGCACAAATTACATTACACAACGTAAGGCTACCACATTGCCTGACTGCAGTATTCAAACCTGAAATTCACTAATATCCTAATCATGTGCACGTTATGAAGTGAGATTTTTAGAGATGTTTATGATTCAATTTTGAAGCTGAAAAAGTTAGCATACCTTGATTTTATTTTAACTGTGTCATTTTTATTGATTGTAGTCCAACTTTGAGCTTCTGAGTCCATTTAAATACTAAAGTAGATGATGAACTCTTTGTCCTATTTCTGCCTTTCCAAATTGTTGATAATTTGATGTGCCAAATTTTAATTCAAATATTTCAATGTAACTTTGTGTATAAATGAATAGTCTCTTGAGTTTCTATCTTAAAATGTGTTTTATTGGACTTGATAATTCTTTCTTCTCAGACTTGAAAGTGAAACAAATACTAATTCCTTATCAACAAGCTATAAGTCAGTGCCATTGCCATTAAGTTCTCCTAACATAAAGCTGAATCTGACTAGCCCCAAAAGGGGACAGAAAAGAGAAGAAGGGTGGAAAGAAGTTGTACGAAGGTAAGTAGAATTAGTCTTATCTTTTTAACTTTCATAGACCATGTAAGTTCTATCTAATGAGGTAGTTACCCAGTTAATTAGTGAATCATTTGAATGTGGTTATTATTTGTGCCACACTAAATCCAGAGTAGGCTAAAGTAAAATGAGAAGCCATATGTAAATTTTGCATATATATTTTATATGACACAAAAAAATGTTGGCTTTACAATAACAAAAAATGTTTTATTAAAACATAACATCTACAGATGTTATGTTTTATTAAAACATAATATCTACAGATGTTTCCAGATATACCATACAAAATGGTCACAAGCTTCTTACAGGGAAGATTCTACATTTGACAGGAAAATCACAATGTTATTAGTGAGGACTACAAGGTTTGTTTAATTATCCCATTTTGGTTCAAACAATCAAATTTATCGGTATACAGTGTTTAAATAAAGTTAGACTTCACTAGAGAACCACATATCCTAAAGAACTGGCTAGCTGCTATTAACTAGTGCAGTTGCTATCCCGATAAGGGGGAAAAAGAGCCCATAAAATTAAAATAAAACTACCTTCACCCTCAAAAAAGAAAAAGAAAAGAAGAAAGAAAAGTACAGTAAAACCTTGGTTTGAGAGCATAATTCATCCCAGAAACATGCTTGTCATCTAAAGCCTGTGTATATCAAAGCGAATTTCAAGAACCATTGGCTCAGTTGTGATCATGTGATATTTGGTATCACATACTACTCATATTGCAGGACATGGCTTGTTTATCAAGTTAAAATTTATTAGAAATCTTCGCTCATCTAGGGGCACCTGCATGACTCAGTTGGTTGAGCGTCTGACTTCAGCTCAGGTCATGATCTCACAGCTCATGAGTTTGAGCCCCTCATCGGGCTCTGTGCTCACAGCTCAGAGCCTGGAGCCTGCTTCAGATTCTGTGTCTCCCTCTCTCTCTGCCCCTAACCCACTCCCACTCGCATTCTGTCTCTGTCTCTCTCAAAAATAAATAAACATAAAGAAAGAAGAAAGAAAGAAAGAAAGAAAGAAAGAAAGAAAGAAAGAAAGAAAGAAAGAAAGAAAGAAAGAAATGTTTGCTCATCTTGTAGAACACTTGCAGAACAAGTTACTCACAATCCAAGGTTTTACTGCACCTTCAGTCACAGTGTTTATATTTAAGCTAGGATGGGAGAAATGAATAAAAGCAGACAGGCCACAGCTTTCAAATGTTTTATACAATCCAGATGATACTTTTAGCCTCTGTTCATACTTTACAACAGGGAATCAGGACAAGATACAGAAATGCTAATGTATATCAAATCATATTAAGTCACCAAAGGACTGAAATGTCTGGGCTTTTATTCTGTATTGCTTTTGAAGTTTGTGTCCATTAAATGCAAACAGAAAGAAGTCTTGGCAAAATAGGAGAAGTGATACCTGATGATCAGATCGATTTAAATGTTACAGCATGTAGCCTAGTCTATGCTCTAGCTTTCAAAATACCCAAATATATTCTTCCCAGCATTAAGATAATAAATTTTGAGCATGAAGAGTATTTTAAGGGCTGCCTCTGATACTCTTCTAGATGGAATAATTCAAGTTTGAAGGTCCCTCCTTGAAAAGGGGAATCCTGGGGTCCAGCACTGAGCACTTGAAAATAATGGGTGTCGCTCTCATCTGGTTCTGCTTTACTTAAAAAGTGCTTCTGCCAGCAAACACTGGGTTTCTTTGATAGTCCTTAGGGACAGCCAGGCCAGGCCATCTTATTAGATCCCAAGATCAGCCTCTGGTCATCTCTCGGCTCGCTCAGCTCACATGTAAGTGGAAGTCAAGTCCCAGGCTCCACTTGTGGGTTGCTTTTTATGTAGTTCAAACCTGAACTGCATTTATACTTGTTATTGCTAAGTATAAATTACTGATATTGATAAGCTGGTCTCTCTTACTTGGTATGAAGTTTAATAGTATGTTATGCATTGTTTTCGTTTAGAAAAAGTCAGTCCATATGGTCATTGCCGTTTAGTTGATGTGTGATGTTTTCAGCAGATTGGAATGCTTAGATCATGAGTTATTTAAAATATAATTTTGTTTTAAATGACAAAGTAATATTTACTTTCACTAAGTTAAATTCAATATGAGAGGGAGTCAGTTTCTAAAACGAAAATTTATAGTAATTTCCCCTTTAAGGTTTGAGACATATTATTCTACATGAACATACTAGCTGAGACATCTTTTTAAGTAAAGACGTTTGTTTTCATAAGCTCATATTTTGTTTCATAAGCTCATAAGTCTTCATTTTATAGGTCAAAGAAATTGTCTGTTCCAGCTTCCGTGGTTTCCAGGATAATGGGAAGAGGAGGATGCAACATCACTGCAATACAAGATGTTACTGGAGCCCATATTGATGTGGATAAACAAAAAGATAAGAATGGCGAGAGAATGATCACAATAAGGTAATTGTGGAAAATGTATATTAGTAGTTCTGTATGGAAATTAAATGTTTTTAGAAGCATACTTGTGTTACGCATGGCACAATCAAGAATTTTAAGGTTAAAAGTACCTCTGTTTTTATCTCTTTGATCCTGTTTTTATGTTTTGTTGGTTTTCTCCCCAGGGGTGGTACGGAATCAACAAGGTATGCGGTTCAGCTTATCAATGCACTTATTCAAGATCCTGCTAAGGAACTGGAAGACTTGATTCCTAAAAATCATATCAGAACACCTGCCAGCACCAAGTCCATCCATGCAAACTTCTCATCTGGAGTAGGCACCACATCAGCTTCCAGTAAAAACGCATTTCCTTTGGGTGCTCCAGCTCTTGTTACGTCACAGGCGACAACATTATCTACTTTCCAGCCCACTAATAAACTTAACAAGAACGTTCCAACAAACGTACGTTCTTCTTTCCCAGTTTCTCTACCCTTGGCTTATCCCCACCCTCATTTTGCCCTGCTGGCTGCTCAGACTATGCAACAGATTCGGCATCCTCGCTTACCCATGGCCCAATTTGGAGGAACCTTTTCACCCTCTCCCAACACTTGGGGACCATTCCCAGTGAGACCTGTGAATCCTGGCAACACAAACAGCTCTCCAAAGCATAATAATTCAGGCCGTCTACCGAACCAGAACGGGACTGTCTTACCCTCAGAGTCTGCGGGGCTAGCTACTGCCAGTTGTCCTATCACTGTCTCTTCCGTAGTTGCTGCCAGCCAGCAGCTGTGTGTGACTAATACCCGGACTCCTTCATCGGTCAGAAAGCAGTTGTTTGCCTGTGTGCCTAAAACGAGCCCTCCGGCAACAGTGATCTCTTCTGTGACGAGCACTTGTAGTTCCCTGCCTTCTGTTTCCTCTGCACCTATCCCCAGCGGGCAGGTTCCCACCACCTTTCTGCCTGCAAGTACTCCTCAAACACAGCTTTCTTCACAAAAGATGGAGTCTTTCCCTGCCATGCCACCCCCCAAAGAGAAAGCGTCCACACAGGAGCAGCCCATGGCCAACCTGTGCACCCCATCTTCAACTGCAAATAGTTGCAGTAGCTCTGCCAGCAACACCCCAGGAGCTCCAGAAACTCACCCATCCAGTAGCCCCGCTCCTCCCTCCACTAACACACAGGAGGAGGCACAGCCACCCAGTGGATCTGACTTAAGTCCTATGTCCATGCCTTTCGCATCCAACTCAGAACCTGCTCCATTGACTTTGGCATCACCCAGATTGGTTGCTGCTGATAATCAGGACACCAATAACTTACCTCAGTTAGCTGTACCAGCACCTCGAGTTTCTCATCGAATGCAGCCCAGAGGTTCTTTTTACTCAGTGGTACCAAATGCAACTATACACCAGGATCCCCAGTCTATTTTTGTTACAAATCCAGTTCCTTTGACACCACCTCAAGGCCCACCGGCTGCAGTGCAGCTTTCTTCAGCCATGAACATTATGAATGGCTCTCAGATGCACATTAACCCAGCAAATAAATCTTTGCCACCTACATTCGGCCCGGCCACACTTTTCAATCATTTCAGTAGTCTTTTTGATAGCAGTCAGGTGCCTGCTAACCAGGGTTGGGGAGATGGTCCGCTGTCCTCACGAGTTGCTGCAGATGCCTCTTTCACTGTTCAGTCAGCATTCCTGGGTAACTCTGTACTTGGACACTTGGAAAACGTGCACCCTGACAACTCCAAGGCACCTGGCTTCAGACCACCTTCCCAGCGAGTTTCTACTAGTCCAGTTGGTAAGTTATTATAACTATTACTGCAGTTCAGTATGGGGCTCTTAAGTGTAATTGAATCCTTCAAGATAATAAAGCACTTATTTTGTACATCGTATCACATGATCTTAAAGAAATGAGTCTGTGTCGGGACGCCTGGGTGGCTCATTTGGTTAAGCCTCCGACTTCCGCTCGGGTTGTGATCTCCCAGTTTGTGAGTTTGAGCCCTGTGTTGGGCTTTGTGCTGATAGCATGGAGCCTGGAGCCTCCTTCCAGTTCTGTGTCTCTTCTCTCTCTGCCCCTGTGCCTCCCCTTCTCACGCTGTCTCTCTCTCTCTCTCTCTCTCTCTCTCTCTCAAAAATACATTTAAAAAATTAAAAAAGAAAGAAAGAAAAAAGACTATGTCATAAATACTAAAGACCCTTTAATGATTGCTGTTTGAGGGGGCAGCAACATAGCTGTAGATAATCACTCACATACAATGAGCTGCCTTATATGGTCTATCTGATATTTCTGTCCCTCATAGCAAGGAGGTTATACCTTGTGTCAGTCCATTTTCTAAGAATTGGTATAATGATATTAATAAAAAGGGACTCAGGATACTTCAAGGATTTCAAATTTATAGACGTTTTTAAAATCATCATGAATGTTTGCATTTCTCAGATTTAAAAAGTTTGTGTTACAGAAGCGTTTAGGTACCAGTCCATAACCTACATTATTCTTTGAAATATTCTACAATATTTCAGTCTTGGGTGCTCAGGCTCAATGTTAATATTATTATTAGAGATCCAGTCATTTGTGGGCTCTTAATGTAAAAAGACCAACTTAGATTCAGCTCTTTGGTTTTTTGAAATTACAAATTAGCTGCTGAGGCGTTATAAGAAAGATATAGATATGAGTCTAGTATTGACTTGGATATATTTAGAAAACCAGTCTTTTTTCCAGAGTCAAAGAGCCAAATTTGAGTCTAATGTGCACTATTCTGAAAAACAAATTAGAAATTGTAACTGACATAGAATGGTGTAAGAGGCTCTGTTGCCTCGTAGCATTTTCCTTCCAGTGAGAAAACCGTCTTTCATGACCCAGCCTTCCTTTTTGTTTATTACAAACTGACCTATGGTGTTTAAATATGGAAGTTTATGGATATGGTGTGACCTTAATTTTCATTTCAGGTATGCTTTTATTTACTTGTCTTTTCAGGAAAACAGCTGTTATATCATCCTTCCTTCTTTCCTTCCTTCCCTCCCTCCCTCTCTTCCTTCCTTCCTTTTTCTTTCTTTCTTTCTTTCTTTCTTTCTTTCTTTCTTTCTTTCTTTTCTTTCTTTCTTTCTTTCTTTCTTCCTTTCTTTCTTCCTTTCTTTCTCCCTTCCTTCCTTCCTTCCTTCCTTCCTTCCTTCCTTCCTTCCTTTCTTTCTATGTTATTCACTTTTGAGAAAGAGACAGAGACAAAATCCAAAGCAGGCTCCAGGCTCTGAGCTGTCAGTACAGAGCCTGATGCGGGGCTCAAACCCACAAACCGTGGGATCATGACCTGAGCTGAAGCCGGACGCTTAACTGACTGAACCACCCAAGCGCCCCTATATCATCTTTCAAGTAAATATATAAGCCTACATAAGATCGACTGTGGTCCAAATGTTCTCTAGGATTTTTTTTCTTAATTTTTTATTTTTTTCTATAAATAGATATTTGTTTTCACTTTTTGTTTGGAGGAAACTAAAAGATTTTCAAAGGCCACACACAGGGTGAAAGAACTCATTGCCAGTGCTCAGGCAATCAGTGTAGAAAGCATTTATCTTTGACTTGACTGGCACTGACATGTGAATTCTGAATGCCTTAGCCAGTTTGACTTCAGAACTCTCATATTCTCATGTTTGAGCTCTTTGCATTCCACATGCTGCCTCCCAGAAGATGTACAGATTATGAAATTCTAGAAAAAAGAAAAAAATCAAGGATATCTGCTATCTAGTTTGGTAGAAAACAAGGTTTGGGAACCTTAATTATTTAGATCTAAAACATCAAAATTATTTATTGCTAATAAAAAAATAATCATTTTTTTAGAAAGCAAGCATTAATCCTGGACCTTCCCTCTGGGGTCCAGGATTGGTAAGCCTGGCTATATATATGTACATATACATATACATATATTATGTATTTACTTTTTTTTATTTATTTCTGAGAGACTGAGAGAGACAGAGCATGAGCAGGGAGGGGCAGAGAGAGGGAGACACAGAATCCGAAGCAGGCTCCAGGCTCAGAGCTGTCAGCACAGAGCCGAGTGCAGGGCTGGAACCCACGAACTGTGAGATCATGACCTGAGCAGAAGTCGGACGCTTAACCGACTGAACCACCCAGGCGCCCCAGCTTGGCCTTATATCTTAACTGCCTGTATGGCTTCTTTTGTTTCTCTTCTTTCATGGATATAGTTTACTCTCCTGGTTGTTTCACAGGTAAGAAATAGTAATACTGGAGAAAATAGAGAAGGATGTGGAGAAATTGGAAACCTCAAATATTGCCAGTGGAAATTCAAAGTAACATAGCAACTTGAAAAAAACAGTTTTTGACAATTCCTCATAAAGTTACACAAGGGTACCATACGATCCAGTAATTCCACTCTTAGGTCTCCCCAACAGAAAACCTATATCTACACAAAAAAACTGGTACACAAATGTTCATAGCAGCATAATAACCCAAAAGTGGAAATTGCCCACAGTCCATCAACTGATAAATATGAAACAAAATGTAGTGTATTGATATAATGGGATTATTAGTCAGCAGTAAAGAGAAATGAAGTACTGATGGATGCTACAGCATTGATGAACATTGAATACCTGATGCTAAGTGAAAGAAAGGCAGTCACAAAAAGATCACATACTGTATAATTCTATTTATATGAAATTTCCAGAATAGGTAAATCTACTGTGGTTGCTTAGAGGTGGGGATATGGAGTAAAGGACGATGGGGAGTTACAGGTAATGGGTGCAGAGTTTCTTTTAGGGAAGACAAAACTGTTCTAAAATTGATTGCGGTGATGGTTGTACAACTCTGTGAATCTGCTAAAAGCCTTTGAACCATATACTTTAAATGGATGAAGAACTGCTTGAGAGAAGTTTGACAGTTTTTCATGTTGATTTTAACTATTTTTTCCTGAAATGAGTACGTATAATCCTTTTGCACACACCTGTTCCCTTTCCCCGATGCATTCTCTAGAAACAGCAGTGGCATTTGAGAAGACTGCTGAATTCAGATTTACACAAACTAGATAGAAACTTTGATATAGTTTGCAACTGTTGATTTTTTGTATCAGATGGAATACTTATCTTTAATAGTATGCTTTTCCTCATTAGGAAGGAAACATTGGTAGATTGTGTTATTCATCTTCCATAGGAGACAACTGTATTTATGTAGATGAACAGCTGTACTTTTAGATTTTCGACAAAAGGAAAAGCAGAAGTTACTGATGGGCACCACTTAGTCACAGCATGCTCTCGTTGCATGTCCCCTCTAGTGAAAGCTTTGAGATTTATCCAGAACATTATTCCAGGTGATTGCTTTTTTTTTTTTAATGTTTATTTATTTTGAGAGAGTGAATGAGCAGGGGAGGGGCAGAG